TATATATATATATATATGAACTGCTCACTTGATGAAGCGGTTATAGGCAGATGGGACTCTCTGTCTTTTCTCCGGAGCTGGCGATTGCAAATCCAAGGGCAAAGACAAAACGAAAATAAACTCAGACAGAAAGAGACAAACATACATTAAATTCACTTCACTGTCTTTTTCTTTCTTTGCATTGACATCATCGTCGTGCGCTCTCTCTCTCTCTCTCTCTCTCTCTCTCTCTCTCTCTCTCTCTCTCTCTCTTCCTCCTCTTTTTAGCCATACCCGTCCACATACAAATTTACATAGATTCTTTTTCTCTATATTTCCGGGGGATAAAGCCCTCTTTCTGTTGCTTTACCCTAATTTAACAAAGACAAGAAGCCGTCGATAATCAAAACAAGATGGACTTTAATTAGCCACATAACCGGTGAGTAAATCAATAAATAGAACAAGGGTAGAAGAGAAATCAGTTGATTCGAGTATATTTTCATTGACTTTCAGACATCCAAACAGTTTTCAGAGCAGGACTCTTCCTGGTAACTGAGAATATTAGCTCAGAAATGTGAATCCTTATGCAATGCAACAATAAACTACTGTAGGTGGGACTTCCTAGATATCTTGTGCAGACACATATGCGCACACACATATATGTATATATATGTATATATGTGCGTATCGATGATTGACTTTTTCCTCATTATAGTGTTTTGAGGCAGGAAGGCCTGTTCATGACCCTAAGTGTCGAATCATGATGAGAAAAAGGAGAACAAACGATAAGAAGAGAAATGGTCTTACGTCGGTTGACTGGTGGTGCTTTCGGAATCTCAAGTTGTTGATCAAGGCCTCGAATATCCATGAAGGACGGTATGTCATTTGGGCTTGGATGCTGATTCACCAGCATATTCACGTTTGATGGCGCATCTCTTAGCTCCTCCTGGAAATTAAATAAAGAAACCCCATATATATGTGAAAGAACTGTTCCAAACACGAAAACCCTAATTAAAGAACCTGCATATGGTGCCCTTCTAAAAGCATATAAAGGTGGCGAATGAAGTTTCTTCTTTACAAGAATGTTCTGGGGATTGAAGAAGGAGTGAGGGCCGAGCTGAAGCTGGTTCGCCGTCGGAATGAGGAGAGAGCGCATGTTGACGGACAGGAGATTGGTACAGTAACCACATCGAACAGTGACGACCTTGAACATGCTCGTGTAAGGAACACTGACCTAAATTACACAAAAATGGAAAACAAACAAACTCAAGTCCCGTGCATAAATACCCTTAGGGCGACCAAGAAAGCCTCGAGAAGAAGACGATATAAGAGGAGATTTCTGAGAGAGAGAGAGTAAGAGGTTATACCGCGAGGACAGTGTTACAAAAGTCGCATTGGACATAACAGAGGTGGTCGGAAGGGGAGAGGTGGTCCGGTGAAAAAGCAGCTGAAGGGGAAGACATGGACATTGACATGCTTTTCTTCTTGTTGTTGTTGATCGATCTCCTTTTTGGGTGTGTTTGGATTTGATTGATTGATGGATATTTGACGGATCAGAGGATTCTTGATAAGAGAAAATATATATTTAGAACCCCACCTTCATCTGATCCTCTGGATTGTTGGGTTGCTGTTTATTATACCACAAAGGAAGAGAGAGATAGAAGGGGGCTAAGGTAGACAGAGAATGAGATATGGAGAGAGAGAGAGAGAGATGGGTTTGATAAAGTAGCATAAAGTTTTCTGGCTCTCTCTCTCTTGGTATTGTAATATTTTGTCAATATAATTAAATTTTATTGGATTTACTGTGTATATTTCATTCAACGGAATGTAATTGTAACATACTTAGATGAATATTCAAATCATATATCTTATATTAAAATGTGGACAAATGGGTATATAAATCCTACAGAAAAACATGTTCTAGTCAGAATACAAGGACAAGAAAACCAAAAGACCGTTTTGTTACAAATCACGTTTAGTATCAATTTTTGTTGGCAATTATGACTGAACAGATCCTGTCATTGGACAACATGTGTGACCTTTTTTCCCAAATGCTTAACATGTGAAGATTTTGCATTTAGAATCCCCCCCCCCCACCTCCCTACACCTACACCATTGCATATATATGTTATATAGTTAAGTTGCATTCTCAAACATAAAATCTTTTAAGATTCCAATAGACTGGCTTGAATAATAATCTAGTGACCATGTATTTGATCCAATGAAAATGAAAAATTCCTTGAATTGTGTCTTATTAATGTCGGGTTCATTTTTTTCCTTTACATCATACATCGAATATAAGATACAGAATGCAATGGGACTAGGGATTAACGTATTCGGCTCAGAAAAAAGAATGATTCGACCTCATAGTCATAGAAAACATTCACGAGCTAGGGATTGGTAAACACGTGAAAGTTGAAACGGCGAATTAAGCTCAAGGGCAAAATAATGCAGTTGTGGAATCCGCACTTCCCAATGGGGGGAGAGAGAGAGGAAGAGAGAGAGGGAGAGAGAGAGAGAGATGCGAGTGTGTGTATGCAGAGGCGGCAGAGGTGGGGGGGCAGAAAGGGACGTGTGCATGGGAGTGATTAAGCGTCGCCTCATTCACCCGTTGTTTTCACTCCTTAACTACACTGCCACGCTTTTTCTTTCCTCGTTTCTCTACAATTCCTTTTCCTTTTCTGTTTTGTTTTTTCATAACCGTGAGAACCTTAACCTATCCTTCGTATGCGCATTGACAACATACACAATTTAATTTCATCACACGAGCATGCACACATATTGTATATGCACACATTAATAATGATCCATTTTTGTTAATTACATGCCTCTGTCTTTGATTGGGGCCATCATTAGATTTTTGGCCATTATGTGATTGTTTTCCTTATATGAAGAGGCTGTTTGAAAATTGGGAATCTTCAAATTATCGAAAGGGAACGTTTAACTGTTTTAAGTTACCCAAGTTTATACAAAAGCCCCCCCCCAAAAAAAAAATATGGACCATGCCCATAAACATTTACGGGTTTTAGTTTAACAAGTTCGTATTTATACTTCTAAAACAAAAGAAAATGTTTGAATATAGATATCTATTGGAATCGACATCCAAGAAATGCGTCGCGTCTTATATGACAAAATCAGCGGGCACGCATATATATATATACACACACCATATTGGTGAAAGCCACGGACAAAAGTCCACTAGCCATTAATTTCGATTGTTTGTTCTTTATTTCAACGAAACTCAATAAGTAACACTAGGATTGTAAAAAAAATACCAAGCCTTCCGTGTCTAGATACGAGGTAAAATTGATTACTCATGCCGGGAATGTAAAGAATAGATATAGAAAACAAGCATAGACTAGATTACTTTGGTTATTGCCCGAGAATTACATTCGCAAAGATCGAGAAATAAATAAACATATTTTCTATCGATGAATGGTGTAATCTGTAGAACACAAATCATCATTTGCGCACAAAACATGTAAATAATGTGTTAAATGACAAATTAGGGAGAAGGGAATTAGTACTTAGTAGTTAATGCGTGTGTGTTTTTAAAGAAAAAAGGCAATGGCGTCCATGTTGGTGATAACTTTCCGGGAAATGCATATACATCGTTAGGGTTAGCCCACAATTTTGTCGCAGTTTGAGCGGTGGGATTCCACCGATAGTACATACATACATATATACACACACATACAAGTGCATATGTACATATATATGTACTGAGATAATAGTTGACATTGATATTTCCCTGTTCTTTTTTTTTAATCGTGATATGCCATTGCCTATAACCCGCAAATCTATTATAGTACATATAATGAGAAAGTACGCACGATGTAATTGAAGATAGCTAAGCAATAATTCACACAGCCCATGTGTGTGTATATAATACATATATATATGCCCGGTATCCATAATAGCCGTACATGCATGTAGGCGTGAAAGCTAATAGCGACTAAATCCACCGAATGGCTGCGAATGGGAAAAAAACGAGACATGATGATATTATTTCAGCTTTATTTTCTCATTCAAATTGTATTTGCACGTACCACATAGCTACGGGGAATCAAATTCCGACGTATGTGCGTAGATACGTAGATACGTTGGTAATTACCAGAGTTTGAGTTTCCTTATACTGTACTAATTAAGGAATTGTTTCCTAAAAGAATTAGGATATTCAAAATTTTTAGAAAATCAGAATCCAAATGTCTCGAATTATATATTTTATTACCCAATCATATTCACAGTGTTGTAGCGTATCCGAACTTGAATATTCGCGAAATAAACTTTGGGTATCCGAATCCAAAATATTTTAAACATTTTCAACCAAAATTTTAAGATATATATCTATATACATAATCAAGTTTATACAAAATCTATTCAAAACATATTTATATCCAAAATATGTGCAAAAGTTATAAAAAAATCATACAAAAACTATCCAACAATTAACAATTATAAATCAAGTAGTATAAAATAATTTTCAAAAAATCAACTTATATATATGTAATAAAAATTATATATTCATTTCTTAAATAATAAGTTAAAAATGGAAATACAATAAAAATTGTTAAAGGACGAGTAAAAAATAATATATATATATATATATATATATATAATGGTATTTTCATAAATACTTTTAAACATAAAAGTAAAAGGATAGTTTTGTACATGTGAGATAATTATTTCGTACTTGAACCCGAATTCAAAATTTCGAGGTTTTTTTAATACCATTATCCGATCTCATGTCTCATCTTATCGGATATTCGAAATTTTAGGTACTCAACTCAGGTTGAGTCGAGTATCCGAAATTCAAGTTTTTTGTCTAGCCTTGACGCACATCAATGGCTGTGTCAAGCGACCATTGCATCCCTCAATATTTGCAATGGAGACTTCAAAACAAATTCATCAATCCATATATATATATATATAAGTGTGTGTGATGACATGAGTATATAAAACTATATATACATGTATACATGATTCGGAGATTTAAAACACATATATGAACTGCAAGATTCGGTGATCATTTAAAATTGTTTTGCCCGAGAAGTAACGAATTCTCGACAGAGCGAGGGGTAAAAGAGTGAATGAGAGAGGCACGGTAATTGGAGATGTTCTTACATAAATGCGTGGCTTCTTTTGGGGTCTGTTTTATGAAAATGTTGCAATACGTTGTGGGTTGTAATCCGTTTCATTTAAATTGTTTTGCCCGACAAGTAACGAATTCTATCGGATACCAAAGAAGGGTAAAAGGGTGAATCCAAAGGCATAGTAATTGGAGAAAGAGTCGATATTTACATGAATGCGTGGCTTCTTTGGGGGGGTTATAATAATTAATGGTTAATAAAATGAAAGTCCATGGCACTGTGACATAGTAGCATACAGTGCCGTTTCTGCAACATTTATAAAAAGGAAAGTACGGAACTTTTATATATTTATATATATATATATATGGCTCCAAAGCTATCATCTATTAGGGTTCATAGCTAAACATGTAGCCTTTCAGGCTCCTCCGAACCCTAAAGGTCCGTCCCATTGTCTAATTTCTCGCAGGGCTCGGACACGTGTCTTGTTTCAAAACCTTAAAAATTCCAACATGAATCACTATTTATAGTTTAAAATTAGGCGAAATCTCGTGAAAATATATAAACTTTACAAACTATAAAAATATACGAAAATTTTAATTTGATACATAAATACATTAGATATTAAAATATTAAAATATGCTAAAAAATATATATATAATCTGAAAATAATTTTCTACAGAGATCGGGATATTGAAATATTATTTCATCTATAAAATTATTTTAGATTTCAAGAGTTAAGTGTATTTATTTGTCAAATAAAAAAATTATATATTTTTTCACATTTTAAAAATTCGTGTAATTTGATAGGATTATCCTTTAAAATTATTACGTTGTAGTCATAAAAAAAAGTTGTAATTGCAATAAAGAAACAATAAACAAAATTGGTATTAGAGAGAAAAAAACAGCCCTATCCATGTGTGACACACATTGTGTGTTCTCTCTCGAACATGATTTATACATTGAAGAAAAAACGATTTTCTTTTTTAATAATGATGCAAAAAAAAAAAAAAGATTTGTACATATTGTGGCTTCGCATCTCCTGAAGTACCATGATATATACCTGAGTTCGAACCTTGAGAATCTAGGTGCCCGGTCGTATATATGCCATGACAAACTATCATATCGTTTTGATTTTTAAAATTTTAAAATTTATTTCGAGTCATTATTTTTTCATTTAGCTAAAAAGAGAAACTGCGTCTCGTCCGATGCATGGTCTGTTTGTTGACCTAGAAGTCGTTAGAACAGGTGCCCCGTTGGGAAGCGTTAGAACCAAAAAGTACGGAATCGAACGATGTTTTTTTTTTGCAAATGTCTGATCTCAATAGTGGGTGAGACAATGCGACCCACCGCATGCTCAGGCAAATAAATATACAACGTGCAGCAAAATTGCCGGGCCCTCGTTATTATGATAACCCATTTCTTGTGTGTATATGTATTCATATATAGGCTTTGTATATAATTACCCTCTAATATTGTAGAACATACCCTGCTGGGGATTAATTATTAGTCTTCGTTCGAAGAATGACACACGACCGTTGTGGGGCTCAAACGTTGGACTACGAACATGTTTTTAGTGAAATCCTGAGATTGGATCATCAGTCAATGCAGGATGCTATGTATAAAATTTGCGCTGTCCCCACCCGCTGTTGAATTTTTCAGTAATGGGTTATTGTGATTATTTCTTTTGCTAACATATATTCCACATGACATGAACATTTGTTACCGTCTGAAGAAAAAAGTTACTGAAACAAAAATCCAGTGGGATACAGAGGAAGAGAGAGAGAGGGAGAACAGATAAAAAATAAGAGGGTAAAAACAGAGGAAAGCATGTCCGGAGGACCACTAGGTTCACAAAAATTTGGACCATTTGAATTTGGTGTATGGAAAGAAAGAGGCAAGAATCATGGGAGTCACATGGATACATATCCATCCCCCAAACCATCTCTCATCTGATGATGGGCGTGCAAAATGTGTTTGCACCAGTTTCACCCGTTATATATATAGATATATGTATGTATGTGTATATATGTATGTATGTACGTATACGTATATGTGTGTGTGTGTGTGATGATATCCTACATTCCAACAAAAAGAGAAGAGAAAAAGCAAAATTCTGGAGAAAACTTATCTAGGAAATTGAGGGGGCTGAGGAAGAAGATGGAACAAGAGCTCTATCTCGAAGTTAGGAACTTAACAAAGCTCTTGTGCTATCACTGCCTATGAACATAACTCATGGAAACTTTTGCTATTTAGAGAGCCAGTAGATTATTAGAAACAACGTACAAGCAGCGATGACGGCAGAGAGGATAATCGTGTCCCGAGAACGTCTCCTTCTGATTGAGCCTATCAGACAGAACGAACAAAGGGTAACACCGTTTTCAAGAATTTCATTACAGGACGAGAGATATGAGAGAAGAAGGTCAGGAATGGATACCGAGCAGTCCGCGAATAACAGGGAACTTATCTCCGAGAAGTTTTACTTTCCCTTGAACATCTGCAAACATTGACCGTTGAGATCCCAAGACCGCTCGTGCCGCTTGAGCTTGATTAATGACTTCATCTATCTGCAACCAATTGAGACTCCAACTATTATTACCACAGTGAGTGAGTGATCCATAATGAATGGTGAAGAAATTGTTTAATCATTATGAGTTAACGTTAAAAGAACCCTTTTTTATTTGTTTTCCACATTCATGTTGCAACTGATCCTTAGAGAAAGCAAACTATGTGCAACTAATCACTTGAATCTTTTTATTCCCAAAGCATCAACCCTTCCAGACGACTGAGAAGGGGACTACAGAAAGAGTTATGTTACAGAGACAAATGACTGAGAAGAATCTTACTCACATGGGATATACTTCCGTGGATGGAAGCTCTCTCCCGTAAAACTTGCACGCCTGGTGACATACTTCCAGAAGCCTGAGAAAGGACAGCAGAAAGCCGAATTCCCCTCAAACTAAGACCGTGAACTCAAATCTTAAGAAGACAAGTTATCTAAATTTTTAACCTTATATTCACTAATGTCGTCTCTGACAGAACTTAAAAGCTCAGCGTGCTCCTTCATTGAGTTTATATTTCCCTTGATTCGTCGAAACTCCTAAGACATTAAATCCCAAAACATTGTAAATGAGAATGCAGCTACCAATGCGTATAGGTTCATATTCCTATAAGTACCACACAATAGGAAACACAAAAGCTCAAAGGCAAACAGCAGACAAAACTTTGACCGACAGTGCTACAAACAGAGTAGAACATGTTCACCTCATAACACATGACACATACCAGCAAAAGAAATATGGATTGCAGTGATCAATAACTTGCCTTCCCTGTGTAAGTGTGCCTTATGAAGAACTATTTCTCAACTCATGCACAAAATGTATTATGCATATATACAAATAGTGACACTGAGGCATTGTGGGTTGAAATTAAAACCGTGTTACTTCTTAAAGTTGAAATGAGAAATATCCATAATGCACAGACTATCGCAACTCCCGAATTTCATTTAGACCTCAACTTAGGAGACATAAAAAAAAACGAAATCCACCAGAATAGAGGAAAAAAGGAGGAAAAGACAACTAGAAGAAAACCTGGGTATATTCATGGAGTATATCCCTGTGCCTTGCCAGCTTTTGGGTAACTGATGTTGTCGGAGCTGCTGATGCAGCGCATCTGCTCATAGAGTCATTTATATCCAAGAGGTTCTCTAGCAATGATTGGATTTCCATCTCCATTGACTTCCATGATCTTCCAGATCCCACAGTTGGAGATCCAGTGTCAATGTGCCCTGAGACCAAAGGATATAAGCTTGTAAAGAAAGGAAACTGAACCTTCCATTTAAAGAATTCCTTAATTCATGCTAACAACTCTTTTAACTATAAATGTGATGCAAAGGAGAAATCCTCTATAAGCAACAACACACAGAAACAGAGTTTATAGGCAAAACTTGCCTCTGGCAGAGTACCCCCCTAAAGAAGTAATGAGGTTACTATTACACATATCCACTTTCAGAAGAGTCAATTACATTTCAGAAAAGCACGACACATATACCGGGGAAGCACTATCTAATGGGAGTTTACTCTTTCCAATCTCAACCAAACATTTGGCGATCTCGTATCGGATGCAGGAACACTCCGATCCATCAATTTCATCATATAAAGTTATAAACACAATAAATGACACCTAAGAACCAATGATCTAGAATCAGTAACTAACGAAACAAGTGCATTGAACGGAAGCGTCAAGATAAAATTGGGAGACAAGCCCCTGCGATGAACTAAGCATACAGAAACTACAACAGAGACTGATAAACATAGAATTCAGCACAGATATCATTCCGAATTCCCTAATTGATCACATTCCAGATTTCTAATCCTACCGCAGAAACAGAAGTCGACAAAAATGAATCAAACAAGGAAACAATAGCCACGACGAGAACAGACCTCCTTGGTTGAACCTCGCGCCAAGCTTGGCATACGAAGAGAGCTTAACGTCGAGATCGCCTTCGATCTTACGAGCTTCTCTCCGGAGTTCCTCCCATCCCGATTCCTGCAGATCCAGACTCGAGTCCATCATCTCCGACCTTCACCTATTTCAGATATCGGCTCCTCCGACGGCTCCACGGAGAACCAATGCAGGAGCTCCGTACAGTGACCACCGAGACGACGATCGGGTTAGAAATTAGAACATGAGCAAGCAAACAAGTTCTCTTCTCTCAAACGGGGAAGAAAGAGATGAATCCTCGAAGATTGAATCTGGGCCGTCCATCAAGTTTAGTGATTCTTATTGGGCTTAATCTGGATATTTATTTCGGCCCATTAAAATAAATGAAACGAGAATTTTCACCGTAACCGTTTGGTTTTGGTCTTTTCGATCTGACCACACCATAATCCATTCTCTTCGACCTCTGTACAAAACGACGCGTGAAACGACCACGTAAATGAGCAGATAAAAACATTTAGCTTCTGGGGAAAGTTAACATATACAGAAGCGGTAATTCTAATTTCTTCTTCGATTGGGTTTTGGGTAGAACTCGGTGCTCTGTTGCCGATCGATCTGTAGAATCCGAGTGGCAGGTAATCCTCGCCGATGAATCTCTCTGTGCTCAATCTTCTGCTGTTTTGGTTGTCCGAAGAATCTTATGCTGAAAGCTGCTGGAGAATCTAGTTCTGTTGTGTTGCATTCGTATCTCGCTGGAGAATTCGGAACTTCCGGATCCAGTCGATTTAGGCTTGGGGTTGGTTGAATTTTTCTTTGGAATCGGCTAAAACGGACAATAGGTTCCATTTCCTTTCGATATTTACTGTAATTATCCAGGACCACATGAAGTTTCTTTTCTCAGTCCTAATTTAGATCGTTATTTCATAGGTTCACCGTTTAGCCTGTGGCAGCAGGAAGATTGTCGCATCTGAATTTCGGCAGCCATGGTGTCCTTCGAAATGAATGATCGGAAAAGTAAGTGCGGATTCATGCCTGTTTTTGTTGTGTTAAGCTGCTTTTCTGAGTAATTGTTGAATGGAAGGGATTCGAAGAACATTGATGTTCATGAATTATCGGAAAAGCAGGTGATGATCTTCTTTTATCCGTCTTTGTTCACAAAATAACCTATCTAACCTTTTGGGCTTTCTTCATGGTGTTCATGAATGAATTTGACAGTGAATGATAAGTAGTAACGCTTGAAAACCATTTAAATTGTATGCTACTAGGTTGTAGCAATTTCTGCAAATGAACTCGGTTTATAATATACATGTGAAGGATTTGGTGCAAGTTTATTTGGGTCCGAAAATTCTAACATGGCTTAAAATTTTGTGATGTGAATTTTGGAACAGAAATTGGGTTAGGGCTGACAGGATTTGGCATATTTTTCTCGTTTCTGGGAATCGTCTTCCTCTTCGATAAAGGACTACTTGCCATGGGAAATGTAAGTGTCTGGGAATCCTCTGTTCCTTCTGTTTTGGCTGCTTTTGTCTCGACCAAATTGAGAGCTAATCTCTTTTCCTTTTCTTTAGATCCTTTTCATCTCAGGGGTTAGCCTAACCATTGGTCTACAGTCTACCGTGCAGTTCTTCATGAAACGTCAAAATTTCAAGGTATCGTTGCTTTTCTTATGTGTGCATTCATTATCTCGTCTCCGAATGTTCCTTTCATATTTTCGTTTTGCTTCTGTTTCAATTCAGGGGACTGTTTCTTTTGGAGCTGGCTTCTTCTTTGTAGTAATCGGATGGCCTATTATGGGAATGATACTAGAGGCCTATGGTTTTATTGTACTCTTCAGGTCTGTATGTATTCCTTCTTTCTTACGGCTTGTGCATGTTGGAAATATTATACACTTGCTAACCTCTCGTTTTCTTTTTATATTTTCCTTTCAGCGGCTTCTGGCCAACGTTGGCAGTTTTCATTCAAAAGATACCAGTTCTTGGTTGGATCTTTCAACAACCGTATATAAGATCGGTATGCTTCAATCTCAAAACTCCCCCCCTCCCCTGCAAAAAGGGTTTCCTTTTCTCTAGAAAAGAAAAAAAAACATGAACTTTGTCGGTACAAATTTGACCTAGGACATTATGCATGGAGTACAAACCTTTCCTTAATTTTCACTTTGGTATGCACAAAAGGATCCTTAGTAAATCACTCGAATGTGACGAAACGGATGTAGAACTCATCCACGTAGAGAATGCTTAAAGGCCATGTAAGTTTAACTGTTTAAGCTTCTCCTTTCAACACCCGAGGTTTCAAAATATTGCATTCTTTTAGAGAAACAACCTTTTTTGTTTCAATAATTTAGTGTGCTGGATCTTATGTTCTGTCATTCAGGAAAGGAATTTGATTAAACTCGGTCCTCTGTTTCTGTGACTGATTGGCAGATCTTTGACAAGCACCGGGGGAAACGTGTACCGGTCTAGTCCCCGCAAACTTGGACAGACAATCACGAAGCTAAGACTGTGCGAAGTCTTTTTTTTTTTTTTGTGGTGGAAAATTCGGCCAAAATGTTACATGACAGTACATGAGAAAAAAAAAAAGGAACGTGGTGGAAAATGAGACGTGGCGGCTTTTGCCATTCGAACCTAGTGAAACAAAGAACTCAATTGGCAGAGACAAGATACGATGAAGCTGTGTGAAATTCATTTCGGCCGTGAGGATTTTCATGGCAAATCTAGCAGTTTTCCAATCCAACGGTCCGAAAGCTCTT